GCCTTCCTCAATCAGGCCCCATCTCTCCCATCGTCTGCCGATCCGTCTTCGTTGCCTTTCCCGGTGATCTGAGTTTTTGCTTGACTTGGGAAGTGAGGTTCGCTTTAGATGGTGGAGACGTGGGATTCTGGGAGAAGGAGAAGAAGATGAATCGTTCGATGGGGGTTTCGTACTTCTGTCAAAGGTTTGAAATTTGGTTGTGGGAGAAGAAGATGAATCACTCAATTGAATTTGACATGAGGCAGGGAGAGAAGAGAAGGAGCGGCGAATCAGATTAATTGAGAGAGACGGCTTGGGCAGAGAAGGAGCTTGGCGAAGGAGATTAATTGGGAGATAGGGTTTTTTCGTGAGACGGGGAGCTGAAGGGATTTATGTTGGCTCGGTATAATCGTTATACCGGGTAACCACCGGTTAATAATCGGGTGGAACTCGGTACACCAATAGCTACTTTTTTGCCAACGAATACCTATATCGCCGGTTACTGGTTATACCGATAACCGGAAAACCAATTCCCATCCCTACCTCCATCTACAAAGATCGCTAGAAGACCGGTGGACATCCGTAGCTTTTTTCTTATCATAAATAAATAAAAAAATTTAAAATGACAAAATCATACGCATTTATGGGTCGTTTGTTTGGTGGATTTGAAGAATGAAGCTTTCTTCTACAAAAAAAAAGGAAGGTTTACACAATAAAGAAAATGAAGGTTTTGGTAAATTTTGGGGTTGGAAAGCCATAGATATATGAGGTAGGGTGAGCATTAACAGGTTGAATCCAAAAATTCACCCAAATCCATCCACAATCGACTCACCCATTATGTTGTGAGTGGTTCATATGGGTGTATATGGATTCTAAAATAAGTGACCCATTAATGTTTGGGTAGGTGCGGGTGGACTAAAGTGAGGAGTGAATGTTGTAAATCCACCGAAACTTCCCAACCGTCCATGATCTGCAATCACCCAACCCACCCACAAGTACATGTTGCGTGGGTGTGGATACTTTTCTCCTTCATCCACCACGTAATGGGTGAGTTCTAAACCACTCAAATCTATATAAAACCACGCACAGATCACCCCAATTTGAGGGTTTTTGGTTCATCATGGACTTGAAAAACACCATTTGTTTGTTCCACAGATTTCATGATAGATTTTATTAATTAGATTTGTATGTATGAAGTGAAATTGACTTAAAAAAAGAGTAAAATTGGCATTCATTGCCTTCATTATTGATATGAGAAGAGAAAGAAAATAGGAGAAGAGAAAGGAAATATATGAAGCAAACAATACACAATGGAGTTTGAACAAAGTTCATAAAAATCGATCCAAATCCAATACGAAATCCATCAGGCAAATATAATGACTAAAACGTGCCTTTTTTCCGTTCCAAGAAGCCGCCACATAGCCCGACTCAAACTTTCTAGTAAATATGTATAATACATGTGATATCAAATTATAACGACTCCAACAATATATTAAGTGATTTAAACCAATTTCAGCGAAAACAAATATGTTGACACTAACTTAAGTAGGCAAGATTTGTAAAAGAAAATGTGCTTTAGTAAACTTAGGTCTCATTTAGTAATATTTTATCGCTATTTGGGATGCATTATAGTTGCGATAACAAAGTTATAACCACAACATGAAAAGTAAACCAATTTAGTTGGTCATTCTAAAAAATCATGGAAGTTAACAACCAATTTGCTTTTAGCTACTTTTTTAGGCACTCATTAATTTAAATGTAGACAAAATTAGCAAAATGATAGGATGAATAGTATGGCGTGATGAGTTATAAGAAATTTGAGAGAGAGAGAAAGATATAAAATGATATTGAAAATAAGATTTCGGAGATGAATTATGTGAAAATGGAAAGGGAAAAATATGTAGAAAGTGAGTGTACTAGTGTAGTGAGATTTGGATATAAATTCACTCAAATGGAATTATTCCAACAATTAATAGAATTTAACAAGAAGAAGTTTTTTTTTGGAAATATCAAGCTACTTAAAGTGGTTTCACGAGTTTCACCTAATTTATGTTGTATTGTCAACTTATGTTGTCACAACAACGGATGAAAACATAATTAAACATGTTTTCGGTCTCTGTTTGTGCTTGTGAAACACAAAAATAGAAAGTGAAAGTGGTACTAATTACTAAAGAGGGTCTTATTACCGAGTATAATGCCGATTCTATTTCCTACTTATGTACCAAAACTAATCATCCCCACTTCACACTTGTGGCATAGATACACACTAGTTTTTTGGTCCACGCTTCGCAGCGGTAAGACTTATATAATATGTTTGTTCAATTGATACATAAGAAGTAATTCTTTCAAAAAAATTATGTAATATATTTATAATTTACATAACTATTACAGAATCGTGTATGCAGTTTTTCGCAATGTGTGGTTTAATAATAACAACAAATTACGGAAAACTATCCTATTTAATTAAACTATTATCTTAAAATTAACTTATCTTATTATGGTATATTTGCGTGATGCAAATTGATAAGATGATGAATATTATAGTTAATAACAAATGAATTTTAACTAGTAATGAAAGAATTAAGTTACGAAAAGTGTCACATTTTACTAACTATTATGTAAACTGTTTGTCTAGCTCGAGGTATGAACAATAATGATTGTTGTGTGGGTTGACTCGTCATTCGTTCATCTGATCTCGTCGGGAGGGAGAGAACCTGTGGAAGGTAGGGGATGCCCCCCCCGGATTAAGCTCCAACGATCAAGACAGTATATTGTGTGGAATGAGTTGAGAGAATAATGTAGAGAGATATAATGTAGAGAGATAGTGGAAAATGGAAAGTGAGGAGAGGGAAGAAGTCCCCCTCCTTGGAGGGTTTTATACCTTTATTTACTCGTAGCGGGTTTCGAGCGTCATACGTTATCGATTGGACGCGCTATTACTTAGTCTATGCGCGGAATATCTTAGTAACACCCCCAACAATTGCCCCCCAAGCTGGTGGTGAGTTTTAACTCATTGCTAGCTTATTATTTTTTATTTTTAAATCTTCATCGATAATTTTGGATGGAGCCCTAAGTACCCCCAGTTGCCCCCCCAGCTGGTGGCGCGTTTGGCTGACGCGGTGCCAGCTTCCTACGTCATGCCCCTCGGTTGGTGTATTTCATTAAGCCATTGAGCGCTCTTCTATTGGAATCTCCAAGGCGCTGAGCAATTGCTTGTTGAAAATTTTCCAAGGTATTGAGCACTCTCCTATTGGAGTTCTTCACACACACACAAGTGTGTACTCTTTCATTGGTGCGCTTGTGATAGCCGCACGATTACGTTACGGGGTTACCGCGCACGTTTAGTGCTCTTTATTGGAGACAGAGGTAGTTAAACACTCTCATATTGTAGATTTACCAATGCTCTATCGAAGTCTTATTTGTGTGCTTTCAGACGAGTCTTACATGAATGGAGGTAGTCAAGCGCTCCCATATTTGTAGATTCACCAATTCTCTTATCGAAGTCTTATTTGTGTGCTTCAGTCGAGTCTTATTTGTAGATTCACCAATGCTCTTATCGAAGCCTTATTTGTGTGCTTCAGTCGAGTCTTATTTGTAGATTCACCAATGCTCTTATTGAAGTCTTATTTGTGTGCTTCAGTCGAGTCTTATTTGTAGATTCACCAATGATCTTATCGAAGTCTTATTTGTGTGCTTCAATCGAGTCTTATTTGTAGATTCAGTTTGGAGCTCTCCATTCGCGACCATAAGATGTCAATATTTAAAATTAAATTGAATGAGAGCTGAGTACTTATCTTTGAGTTAGAAAGGCCGCCGAATGAGTGAATAGATAGAGCACGCCGCACATTAGTAGTAATAACGGCCTCTAGTCCGCTGGTTAACAAGCACGTCTAGTTGAGGAATGGCGCGGCTTCAAGTCCTGGCGGCGGCAATAAGATTTTTGGATGAGCTCAGTGCTTATTGGGCTTGTCCGGACTGTATTGATTGTATTTTTGGAATAGCTCAGTACTTATTGGGCTTGTCCGGACTGCATCGATTGTACGGAGCGGGCTGGTGGAGCGATGTTGGGCCGCGAGTTGATGGTGGAATGGATCGGGGCGTCGGTCCGGTCTGGGCCGAGCGTTGTGGCGAGCTCAGGACTTGGAGTTGCGGGCGGGCTTACCTGAAAGGCCGAATGGTGGCGCATGATGTCAAGAGGGCCGAGGGTTAGAGCATGGGTGGACCGCGAATTGGGCTGCACATAGTGCGGGTGGCACGACGCACGGTTCAGGGCGTCGGTTTGGTGGCGTGATGTTAAGCGGGCCGCGACTTGGACATACGGTGAGGTGGACTGGGCCCACGTTGTCTGTTGCGGGCGGGATTGGTGATAGCTGAAGCAGAAAAATTGCTCGCCGCGGCGAGCTGTGGCGGACTGCCATGGGTTGGGCTAGCGGAGGAGCGGGTATCATAAGACTTTGATGATGTCAGCAGAGGCACCGGTTAAAAAGAGGGCACTGCAACTTAATCACCAGCATATGTTATGGTGCGACGGTTGACATGCTTGATTTGTAATGCCATGACGTGAGTTCTACTCGCACGAGAGTATTCTTTTTTTATGAGAGCGCGGAGTTAAAGAAGGATGGATGTGAAGCGGGCGAGATGTGGAGCGTGGCTGGCCCTTTGCTCGCGTTGTGTGGCCCAATGACTGACGTTTGTTGCTTTGACGTGGGTTCAAATCTTGGCTTATCCTATGCGAGTGGGCCGCGAGTTGATGGTGTTGCATTGGGCGGGTCCCATCGTATGGTATGGCCCGCGCGTGGAGTGTGGTCCGGCTCAAGCGGGTCCGCCTCATATCAAATATGGAGGTGAGCGTGAGTAGGGCAGAACGCAGAGGAGTCTTTTTTTTTTCTTTTCGATTTCACTCTTTTCTTCTCCATCTTCTTCCCCTGCTCCCTCACTCTGTTTTTTCTTCTTCTCACTTGGACCTCTTTCGTCAATTGAAACTCAAAACCCACTCGGCATCAATCAACAAACTACGAGTGATGGGCTTTCTCCGGCTAATATTCAGACTCAAGAAACAGAGCAACTCTTCTACAAAGGACAATAACCGACGGTGGAGCTTTAGTAGATCTCCTCGCCCACTTCCGCCGTCCGCCAAGAACAACAACGAATCTCAGTACGACGACGGATTGGACGCAAATAAGCATGCCATAGCAGTTGCCGCGACTATTGTCGGTGGGGATTAATTGAAGCTTCCCTGGTTTTGAAGCCGCGCGGAGGAGCTGAAAGTGCCACTCCACCGCCGATAAGAAGAGAGTCGTGGAGAAGCGCCACCGTCCTTTCGTTCATGTCCTTCCAGGCTAGAACCCACTTGCCTTGGTAACCCCGTTGTCTACTTTGGGAACTCTGCCTGTCTTCTTTTTCTGACAGAGGGAGCAGGTGGCTCAGAGATAGTTGTCCCATTGGTTCTTTAATTGTGGCCGTATACTGTAGCGTAGTAGGCTACTTTTTACTGCAGAGACTGAAGAGAAGGTGATTATGTTGACTGCAGAGCTGTTCTTCTTCCTTTCTCGTTGGACTCTAGTACCTCACCTATATCCGGCCGTCGGAATCCGGAGAACTTCCACCTTTTTTTTTTGCTGTTGCGCCTTTCTTTCTTCTTTGTTCTGATTGTTGGCAGATTGATTTTATTTTGTTGTTGCCGTCGCTAGGTGAGGTGGGAAATCGGTTTCCTCCCTTCGTTGGCAGCTAATTGGCTTCCGTGTTCTTCAAACTAAAACTCTTCTATTGTTTGTCGTTGCTGCTGTTTGTAGCGATGGAGGAAGAGTCAGCTTTTCCTCCTTTCGAAATCAGACGAACAAGTATCCAAATCCGCCCCACGCCATCTAGCTCGAGGTATGAAAAATAATGATTGTTGTGTGGGTTGACTCGTCATTCGTTCATCTGATCTCGTCGGGAGGGAGAGAACCTGTGGAAGGTCGGGGATGCCCCCGAATTAAGCTCCAACGATCAAGTCAGTATACTGTGTAGAATGAGTTGAGAGAATAATGTAGAGAGATAAAATATAGAGAAATAGTGGAAAGTGGAAAGTGAGGAGAGGGAAGAAGTCCCCCTCCTTGGAGGGTTTCATACATTTATATACTTGTAGCGGGTTTCGAGCGTCATACGTTATCGATTGGATGCGCTATTACTTAGTCTATGCGCAGAATATCTTAGTAACATCCCAACATAAACCTTTTGGAATATTTGTGTAATGCAAATTGGTGAGATTGTCAACCGTTTAGTGAATAATAAAAAAAATTCATTAAAATTCAAATTACGAAAAACTTGCATAATATATTTTTTTAATTGATACATACGAAATGGTTATCCATCCATATGATTTATGTAATTTTTAATCATTACGAAAGACTTCCCGGATCACATTTTATTTAATTGATACATAAAAAATAACTCTCTCTATAAGTTTGACATAATGTATTGCAATTTACATAAATTTTATAGAACGTAAAATTTTTGTAATGTGTGGTCTAATTATAAAATCAAGTTATAAAAAAATATCATATTTGATTAAACTATTATGCGGAACTTAACTTACTTTACTAAATCTTTTGTGTAATGCAAATGTATGATATGGAGACTTGCATAATATATCAATAAATTGATACATAAGAAATGCTTAAGCTTATCCATCCATAAGCTTGTAGCATAACAACACTTATAGTGTTGTTAGAGTAACAACAGGGGTAAAAACGGAAACTCAAAAAAGTAATAAATTAAAAATTAAATGAGTCATTACCCCACCCGTACCCTTCTCTCTCCCCACTCGATTCTTCTCCCCTCCGGCGCATCTCCCAGATTTTCGGCCGACGACGAGCACAGAGACTTCCACTACGCTGACTCCGCCGCGCTGCTAGACCCGCCGCCGGCGACGCCAAATGGCATACTACTATCAGGATGCCGCTATCAGAGTCGTTATACTATTTATTCAGATCTCACCTTCTTCCGCACAGGCTCGTCAGATGCAGATTGGCAGCCACCGGCTCCTCCTTTTCGTCCTCCGCCGCAACTCGTCGGATCTCATCGTACGACCGTTGAGGAGTCCTGGTGGCGGTCATACCGATGCACAACCACCAGCAAAGCGGATCCAGAAATCCGGATATGGATTTCATATATGGTGGTCGGGATATTGAAGAGGATCTCGAATTCAGAATCCGACGACCCTGACTGCCGAGCTGAAGGAGATGGCGAGGGCTTTTTCTCTACAGGAACATTAATCGAGCGCACATGAAGCTAAAGATCGCTAGAGCTTCTCAGTGAGGAAGATCCGACAAGTGAAGGCTCGAGTTTTGCCAGAATCGCCGCGGGAATGTTTCTCTTGACTTCTCCTTTCCCATCCAATTCTCTTCCTTGTGAAAATTTTGCCATCGAAAGCTCTAGCGATCCATACTACAAATCGTTGTTTGCTGTTTGCTCTCTGGAGAAGTGATTGGTTGGCTGCCTTGTTCCTTATCTTTGCTGCTTATGGCCAACGTTTCAAGTGCATTAGTGGATAGTGTGATTACAGTAGCTTTTTTCCTGATATGATTTCACATTTACTTTTAAGTGATACGAAATCATGAGCTGCTTAGCTCGCTTTGGTCACTTGACAGTTGACACTCAAGTATTGAACATCTCATATGAAATGCCTCTTGGTACAGTCTGCAACATTTCTTTTGAAACTAACCAATTTGCATGGACTTCCTTTCAGGCTCGGGTGCATGATGAGAGCTTAAGATATGCATTACCAGACCAAGCTGTTGTGTCTCTGGCAGGAAATATTCCTACGAATCTGACCAAACTCTCTCAGCTTATTGCTCAAGTTGATCATGATGCTGATCCTGTGAATCCCAATTCTTTTCTTCCTCCTCTGTCACTTGTGGTCACGAGTCAGTTGGATGATTTATTTTGCTTAATTCAAGAGAAAGAAAGCAATGGTCACGAGTCATTTGGATGAGAGATCTAACAAAAATTCACTGTTTCTACCTTTTCAGATTTCGGGTTTTAGTGCTGGTGTAAATGTATAACCATTTCATAATGACAGACTGGCAGTGATTGAGTTGATGATGTTGATGAAGGAGATGGAAACCATGTGTTATGTTTCACTAATTTGTGGGGGAAATAAAATTAACTCAACGAGACTGCTTCTGTATCACTAAAAGAGAGACCAAGGCATTTTGATAAATCCAATAAAACATACTATAAAACACACCAAAAACCTTGTAATGTAAACCATAAATCTCCTGAAACATATCAGAAACACCATAAAACACACCACAAATGTTTCTAAAGCACACCAGAAACCTCATAATCCAGACTACAAATCGCCTAAAACATATTAGAAACACCACAAAGCAAACCACAACTATTTCTAAAACACACCAAAAACCTCCTAATGCAAACCACAAATGCGATATAACTAACCACAAAAAAAGCATACTAGAAACATCCTAAAACAAACCACAAGTCTCCTAAAACAAACTAGAAATTTCACAAAGCAAACCATAAATATTTTGAAAAGCACACCAGAAACACCCTAATGCAAACCACAAACACGGAAAAGCAAACCACAAAAAAAAAAACAAACAAACCAGAGACCTTCTAATGCAAACCACAAATATATTAAAATAAACCAGAAACCTCACAATGCAAACCACAAAATTTTCGAAAGAAAACCATAAACGTCCTAATGCAGACCACAAATATATTAAAACAAACCAGAAACCCTTCAATGCAAACCACAAAATTTTTGAAAGCAAACCAGAAACTTCTCAATGCAAACCACAAACACGATAAAGCAAACCAGAAACTTCTCAATGCAAACCACAAACACGATAAAGCAAACCACAAAAGGCATACAAAAATATGAGAAACCAAACCATAAATCTCACAATGCAGACCATAACATCCGGTGGTCGTTGGCCGTTGACCGGTCCACGAAGACCGTTGACCAAACTCCGATGACCGTCAGTGACCGGATTCCGGCGCCGATAAGCATATTCCGGCCCCGATGACTAGATTCCGATGCCGGTAAGCATATTCCGACGCCGGTAAGCATATTCCGGCGACGGTGAGCATATTCCGATGACAAAATAGCATATTCCGACGACAAAAAAGCATATTCCGGTGACCGGCGACCAGATTCAGGTGACCGGTGGCCGAATTCCGGCGACCAAAAATTTGGGCAGAAAATAAAAAAATATATTTTATTTTTTTTATATTTTTTATATTATTTATTTATTATTATTATTATTTAAACATATTTTTCATAATGACAATTATACCCCTGCTTTGATTTTACACTAGGTCAACTCATCTAATAAAAAGTCATCACAATCCTAGATTCCTATTGGTTGGAGGCTAGTGTTGTTACAATAACAACACAAGGGGTGTTGTCACACTATCTAGTCCCTTCAAAATGTCTTCTGGTTTGTGCCTTAGGTGTGGTGGGTCTGGCCTCTACAGATTGGTAGCGATTTTGTTTGCTGGCTGTTTTTCAATTTTGCTATCTTGCTTTTTAGTTGTTAACCAATGGGGGGCATGATGCTTTTGTACCTGCCTTTCTTGCTTCTTTTCTCATTTTCTTTTAATAAATTATTTCATCATTATAAAATAAAATGTTGTACTGAAACCTCTAACAGGATTAATAGGTTGCTTGCTCACAGTAATTTCTTTGACATGCTAGCGATTTTTCTTTGAAATGCATAAAGGGAGGTTTGGTGTTAATTTTTTCTAGATTAATGGGTAGTGACTAGTGGGTCATAGTCTACCATGTTTAATTATTATGGTTTATCGCGATGTAAACCACTTTATACCACACACCAAAGGAGAAGATTGTCATGTTAACTTTCAACTCGATGAAGCTTCCAAAACATCCGAACTCTATTGAAACAAGAGTGCACATACGCTATGTTCATGAGACTAGGGAAAAGAAAATTCTAAGGGAAATGGGGGACATGTCAATTTTTTGGCTTAATTGCAAGTTTGGTAACTCGAATTGCTACAAAATTTCACGTTTGCCACTGAAATTAGTTTATTCCATTCATGGTCACTAAAATGAGTTCAACAATTCAAGTTTGGTCACTCTCCGTTAGTCTCCGTTAACTTTCACTAAAGTGGCAGTCAACTCTGATCTTTGACCGTTAAATGTGTGACATGGAAATTAAAAAATTATAAAAAAAATAATATTTAATATTTTTATAATTTCCATCTCATTTTCAAATCTATTAAAAATAAAAAAAATAAAATTGTATTTCCTCTGGTCGGCGCCGGCGACCAAGCTGCACCACTTCCGCGTTGGCCGCCTGAACCTGTCGCCGCTGCCGTCCTCGCTGCTGCGGGCGAGTACTCAGAGGGCGACGCTTCTTATTCCCGCCGAGTTGTCTTAGAAGAAACCTGGTTAGGCTCGAGAACCGATTCTCGCCACACCTGTCTATTGATCAGTCTCCGTCAACTAGGGTTGGTTGTGAGGATGAAGTAGGAAAGACAGAGGAATCTATGGGGGTTTTCGTTCTGATAATCGGAATCGATGTCCTATGGGGGTACATTTGCGAAAGAGTTGAAAAAGCTTCTTTTCTTTATTCTACCATCTAATAAAAACGACAACCATTCCGGTTTCACCACCAACATTTTGCGCAGAAGAAAGCTCTGCTTTAGAACCATCCCGTGAATCAAGAGCTCCGCAAACCGAATTAAATACAGGTATGGCAACAACGAAAACGAATCGAGGTAGCTCCATCGCGCTTCCAGCAGCAGAAATTCAGGGGTTAATGAAATTTTTCAAATTTGTCGGTGCGAGAGAGGGAGCACTTAATCTTTTACCTGTGGAAACCTGGATTTGGAAGCATGGATCCCTGTTCGTATGGCCCTGCTTCCCTTTCCAATTGGGGCTCAATTCCATTGAAACCCTCACCCATCTAGCGTCCTGAAGCTGCCGGTGCCCCAGGAGGATCACTCACTCTCTTGCGGTCGGTGGGGCCGAGATCGCCGCCGCTGCTACCATCGTGTCGTTGAGTGTGGATTCGGGGAGTCGGACGAAGCTGGTTGGCCAGCAGAACCGGAGATTGTAGCAGCCGAATATCTGGCCTTGCCGGCGTCCCTAGAAGCACCACCCGCTCTCCCAGCTGCGGATGACAAGCGCGTCGTTGATGGTCGATCTCTCCGGAACCCCGTCGGGGATCTGGAGGCGATGAGGAATCGATACTTCAGGGTGGGAGGGTTTCGAGGCGGAGGCAAAGCCATCGGGGTCGATCCGGCGCCAGTTCTTGCAATGTGGTGGAAATTATTTTTTAATTATTGTGACATTTTTTAATTTATTGTAATAATGAGGTGGAAATTATTAAAAATTAATTTTTTAAATTTTTTAATTGCCACGTCATGCATTTAACGGCCAACTATAAGAGTTGACCGCCACATCAGCAAAAGTTAACGGAGACTAACGGTCAGTGACCAAACTTGGACTGTTAACCTAATTTAAGTGACTATAAATGGAATTAATTAATTTGAGTGGCAAACGTGAAATTTTGTAGCAATTCGAGTGACCAAACTTGCAATTAAGCCCAATTTTTTCCTTGTTCATATAGAAGGAAAAAACCCAGAGGGGAGGCAATACGAATATATCCGCCATATTTTCCCCATATGCACTATGGAAACATTCCCTCCAATTCAGGGTAAAAAGAAAATATGTGGGTGGAGTAATTTTCCCCACTCATATTTCCTCAACCTCAAAATTTTCTTCCCTTAAAGTTTTCCTCCCATCCTCTGAATAGTGATAGTTATTCATAAGAGACCAGAGCACTTCTACTATGCTATATAACATTAGTGCTTTAATGTACAACTTGAAGTTGTACCATAGCGTTAAATGTATAAGTTCAGGTTGTACCATAAAGAAATTTGTGTCATTATGTTATGGTACAACTTCGTCCTTACTGGTATCAGAGCCTGGGGTGAAAGGGTTTGTCTAAATCTTCTTGCTTATTATTAGTTGAGAGATGTATACCCCATGGTTAGATCCTAGCTGAGTCCTTTGTGAGAGAGTTGTAAGACCGTCTTTGGCCGTTAACCTATCTCACCTGTAAGTTAGATCCAGCCTTTGTTTACCTTCTTTCCTCTAGTCATGAGTTCGATTTTTAGACCTTCCTCTTCTTCCTCTAATTCTGACATCATCGGGAAGCATGTGATCAACCAAGAAGAAATTAATTTTGAAACTGTTAGTAAAGAAATTGATAATTGGCAAATTCCTATAATTGCCCAAAAGGAAATTTATGAGCAAAGCAAATTTAACTTCCTCAATAAAATGGATTATACCATCAAAACCGAAGAAAGAGATATTCATCTTTTCAATGATTATGAAACCATCAAACTTTTGTCTCAAAATTCTATTCAACAACACAAAAAGAAGTACAACTATATCCATATTGGGTTAGTTCAAGTAGGGATTAAGCCTCTATCCAAAGAAGGCCTTAATACTGCTATTTTAATGGTTTTACGAGATTGTCGGTTTCTGGAGTTTAACGACTCTTTACTTGGAACTGTTGAATCAAGTCTTTGTAATGGCCCAATTTACTTCAATTGTTTTCCAAACTTTACTGTCTCTCTTCACGACAAAAATATTTTAGATGTTTTAACCCTACAAATAAAAACTTTCAACTATAAAATCCAACAAGGATCTTTACCTAACTCTTTGGTTTACCGCTTACACTATAAAGCTATGAAATCTGCTTTCTCTTCTAAAGCTCTTCAATATGGTACAAAAGGAGAAATTATACTTTGGCAAACTGATTTAACTCGTACTAACACTGTTACTCCCAAAACTATCAAATAGGGAGAAGTTACTCTTCCTACGGAATGGACCCTTGAAGGAGCTCCCAGAAGCATCGACCATCGTCAGGTTAATCAAATTACTCAACATCTTGATGGTACTGTTAGCATCTCTTTTGCTAGGAACCCATCTCTAGCATTTCTGATATAGACCCTGAATTGACAGGCGATGCTCGACAGCGCATCAATACTTTTCTTAGAAGCCAATCTTGTAGAAATCTTTCTCCCATACCTACACCCACTCGACATACCTCCTCTACACTCAACTATGATCTACGAGGAATCAACAACTCCAACAACAAACCTCAGCCAGTTTATACTCCACCACCTCCCACAACTCTTTTTCCAAATATAAATACCTCGAGAACACCAAATATGTCTCCTACTGCCTCACAAGCTGCATTTACTGAAGAAGAAATCACTTCTGCTCTTGATGTCATTACACAAGAGTTCAAAATCAACAAATGATTTCTTCGCCATGATTTCTATTCCCAACGAAACCGTTTTAAACGCGAGCAATTTTTTACTGATTACTCTAAAGAAGAACGTGTACTTATAGAAAACTCTTTCTATGATTATCTCAATAATATACGAGAACACCATTCTTTCTTTAATTGGTTTGAACAAGTCTTTTCTCAATCTTCGATAATTGTTCAAACCAAGCCTATGACTTGGTTAACTACTAATAACTCTAAGATCCAATCTATTCACCCCCCTAATGCTCCTGTTAATTTTTCTTATTATGGAACAGCAGTTCAAGCCTCTCCTTTTAAATTAAAACAAGAAAATAGTGACCATGTCAAAGGAGAAGATATTTGACGTCTGATTGAACAAAACAATTATACAAACTGATTACTTCGGACCTTAGGAGATCAACTTACTAATGTTGAAATCAGTTTACCTCTGTCTTTTGCGTCTACTTCAAATACTCCTATTCCTCCTTCTAACAAACTTAATTCCCCCATTTTCAAACCTTTTGAAGTTTCTAAAGAATCTAGTCTTGAATTTAAGCTTGAAATAGAAAAACGTCTTAAACAACTTTCTACACAACTATCCATTTCTAAGACTCCTTATATTTCTGACTCAAAATCCACGAGCAACGAGGATCAAATCGTCGATGACTCAGCCGAAGTAATTCCAGACCTAGAAGGTCATATTGAAACAGAAATCAATCGTCTCCGATGGAACCAACCCTCTGCATTTAAGATGTATTACCCACGTCCCACAGCACCTGATTTAGCTCTCGAAGAGAAACCCACCATTATCCAAAATAAATACAACTCCAATTCTATTTATGAATGGAATCTTGATGGATTTTTAGAATATCAAATTTTGAACCTTCTTCAACAAATGACCATGGTAGCTAATGCTTACAAAACACAAAATCAAACTTCTGATTACGCTATAGCTGAACTACTTATAGCTGGCTTTGCTGGTCAATTAAAGGGTTGGTGGGATAATATCTTAAACGCAGAAGACCAGAGAAGAATTTTTACAGCTGTCAAATGTGATTCTTCTGGAACTCCTATTTTAGACTCCAATAATCAATCTTCTCAAGATGCAGTTGCATCTCTGATTTTTGCCATTTCAAAACATTTTATTGGAGATCCTTCACATCTTAAAGATAAAAATTCTGAACTACTTTCTAATCTTCGTTGTAAGAAGTTTCATGACTTCCAATGGTACAAAGATACCTTTTTAACTAGGGTTATGCAAAGAGAAGATGTAAATCAACCATTTTGGAAAGAAAAGTTTTTAGCCGGTTTACCCCGTCTCTTAGTCTTAGGAGATAAAATACGAAACAAAATCCAAGACACTTTTAATGGTCAAATTCCTTATGAGCAACTTACTTACAGAGAACTTATTAGTTTTATACAAAAGGAAGGATTACAAATTTGCCATGATTTAAAACTTCAAAAACAAATCAAACGCGAACAAAAACTAACTCGAAAAGAACTAGGATCTTTTTGTGCTAAGTTTGATGAATCTTACTCAAAAATTTCTTCCAAATCTAACTTTGAGGATTTTAGCACCAAACCTCATCAAACTGTGGTGTCGAAAATGAATGTACGATTTGTTTTTTACTTCTTCTCAGGATTTTTTTTAATATGTGATATTTCAAAAAGCTTCATGAGCACATGGAGAAACCTCCTGAGACTATTCCACCTACCAATCCCTTTCATCAAGGTTCGACGTATAGTGTCAAAGATATCATTTCTCGAAATAGTAATAATGATTCCCACAATCCTTCTCTTCCTGACTTCCAAAAGGAATTGGATATTGTTAAGAAAGAAATTCCACAATTACGACAGTTACAAAATAGTGATAATGAAATATTATAAACTTTAATAGCTCTCAAACCTTTAGAAGAGCCATCAACATCTAGCCCCGAAAACTTTTTCGATGAAACTCCTCACGCAACCAATAGTTTAGAAACAGAGGAAATGCTAACTGATGACCATTTTCTATGTTTTTTATCTACCATTACTACCCAAAAATGGTATGTTATCATTAATATTCAGGTTTCTTCTTATTTTACTTTAAGCACAGTGGCCCTTCTTGATACAGGAGCAGACATGAACTGCATCCAAGAAGGATTAATTCCAACTAAGTACTATGAAAAGACCCTCGAGCGTCTATCTACCGCTAACTCTCAACCTCTTCAAATACAATATAAACTTTCTAATCCTTAATTTGCTCCCTCAGAATTTCAAAGAATTATGAATTAAATCTACTCTCCTTATTTTGATTTCATAATAGTTTATATTGATGATGTGCTGGTTTTTTCTTCGTCCATTGACCAACATTTCAAACATCTCAATTTATTTCTTGAAGTGACTCGACATAACGGTCTGGCTGTCACTAAACCAAAACTTTGTCTTTTTCAAACTAAGATACGTTTTTTGGGTCACTACATTAGTCAAGGAACAATTGTTCCAATCAAAAGATCTCTTCAAGGGTACGTAGTCAACATCATCCATATCGATACGTAGTTTTTCCCGCACCAATATGTGCAACATGCATGCAACGCAGTCAATATGGGAATTTTACGTAAAATCGAAAACTGAGTCAAAATCTAAATTGTAAAATCGAATCATGAAATCTTATGATTTTAAGGTCCGTATAAAAACAAACACTAAATCATATTAATAAGAAAAATCATGAATAACACACAAAAAAAACATAACACTTAAAACGATATTTTTTCAATGTTAATGTTGGAAAGTGGTGAATCGGTGATGTTAATGAGTTGACAAGATTTAATGATGGTTGATGGTGGCTAGTGAGTGAGAAATATATGATGTTGATGGAGGAGTAGGGAAAAAAAACATTATGTTTTGCTAATTTGAGGGGAAATAAGTAAATCTGGCACAAATTTTTTTGATCTTATTACTTTAACTTAGTTCGATTTAGTCAAAATT